TTTTTTTTTTTACGAGCCTTTTATGTGGCACCTTGTCAAATGCTTTCTGAAAATTCAGATACACCAAATCTACACCCTTACCCTCATCTACATAGGCAGTAACTTTTTCAAAGTAATTGTAAAGCCCCAAAAATTACTACAAGCTAAATAAGTAAGACAGAAACACTGCCCTATGGGCGGCTGTTCGATCAGGATTTTGGCGAGCTGAACAGTGAAATTGCTCCTGACTTCTTCTAACTACATCTTGGCAAGCAGTTTGATGTGCTTTTGTATTTTAGGTTTGCTCCTGGCTACTTCTCACTGGATCTTGCCTCATAGCTTGGGGAGCAAGCCTATCTTTTTCTCGCTCTTTCTTTCTGTAAGTTGCATCCTGATGTTTGATTTTTTTTCTCCATGATAAGTCACTTTTCTGTTTGGCAATTTTTGGAATCTCGATTTTCAATATTTTTTATCACTTTATACTCATATTGAAATTAAAAAATACTTGTGTAACTTATGAATATCAAGTTACTACAAAATTATTGCAAATTTATATGCAACAAACTCTGTATTTAGGAAATGTGATTCCTTCGGTCACAGAATAATTTAATTCATAGTGTATGCTTGGATTCTGCAGCAGAAACATCACAATGATTCTCCACTAGGAAGATTCACTTTGAACTTCTGCATTAAACTCACTTTACAACAATTTTAGAAGTTTTACTAAAAAATTTATTTCATTGATAATAATATACAAAATTAATGTACATTATTAAAAAGGAAAAAAGTACCATTTCGCCATTAAGTAATGAGTTAGGAAAAAATGTTATATAATAAGGTCCTATTATTTTGCTAATTTTAGCAAGGGTCTGTTTTATAACAGTTTTATAAGCTAGTATTCACTTATTCCTTAAAAATTGGATTTAAACTGTGGGAGTTTTGCAGACAGGCGAACATTAAATAACATTATATATATTTCCTTGCCTTGAAGTACCTTTATAGTAAGAAAACTTAAAATGAGAATAAGAAAAGGTAACTTTTCTAATGTTCTTTCATATATATATATATACATACACACAATGCAGGTAATGGAAATAACCATAATGGTAAACTTATTGGATAACAATATTTGACCTTATATGTATATTTATGGTAATTAGTAGGACTGGAAGCATGGCATAGTGTTAATATACAGATTAGAAGGAACCATCTGGTCCCTCTAGACTGTCCTTATGCACAAAAAGAAAAATAGAAATACAATTTCAAAACTACCCTTTGTTTTTCAAGAATTTAACAATTCCCCTCTTAAACTCTCATAAAGTGCCAGTTTCCAGTATTGTCAATGGCTATTCATTCCATAAGTTAATCACCCTGTTAGAAAAATGAAACTGTCATAACTAGAGTCTAGACTGTCTTTTTTTTCTTACAAAGCTTAAATTTGTGTCTATTGTTTTAGGATACAGCACAAAGAAGTCAGAGGCCTTTATCCTGTCAAACTCCTGGATAATCCTGTGATCTTCAATCAGATCATCTCTTAAACTTCTTTTCTGAAGAGAAAATAAGAGATATTTACCTATTTCTATAAAACTCTTCCATCATTAGAATAATCGTAGTATCCCTCTTCTGATCTCTTTCTAATAAGTCAATATCTTTTCTAAGGTAATAACATAAAAGTTGTACACAGTATTCCAAGTGAGGCCTACATGTAATTAGAGCTAGTCTATTAGTGGATTTGATAATTACTCAAATTATTCTCACATGAGACTTGGATAGTTGGAATAATAGTAATAATCAGAAACACTAGTTTTGATCAGTTGATTATTTTCATTAATCATTAAATTAATCCATTTAGCTAAACAACCCTGAATTGATTGTTTCAATTACTTGGATAATTGGAAACTACTTTTGATTACGTTATTATTTTCATGAGTTGTGACACTAATAGATTAAGCTGAACAAACTTGAATTAATCAGAAATAATAATGAGAAACTATTATGGCAATATTTTGTTTATTTGAATAGTTGGAATAATTGTAAACAATAATTTTGATTAGCTGATGATTTTTGTGACATTAATTGATTGTTTTATGGGACACTACTTGATGCATTTGAGATAATCTTCCAGTTCCACATGTATCTAGTGATTTGTATAAAGAGATAATTACTTTATTTGACTTTTAATCAGTGTGCATCTATAAAAACATCCTAAAATTATGTTAGTGTTACTACTAGCAGCACAACATTACCTCCATGGCTTGGGTTACATATCTACATGTATCACTTTGCCAAAATCCATTTTTTCAAGTCACTCTACTGAGTAAGTTTGTATCTGTATTATATATATGTGATCCAACTTAGGATAACTTGGTTTCATTTCCTTGCATTTACTATAATTAAAGGTCATTTTCCAACTATTTGTCCAAAATTAAGTTATTTTATAGTTCTAATAATCAAAGAGATTATTGTTACTTGTAAACTTTCTAGTATACTAGTTATGTCATGACCCAAAAAAGAAAGTATTAGGGATAAAGTGGGTGAATTCAGATTTAGAAAATTACAGTAGAGTCTGGGAATTAATTTTTGAAAAGGAAATTGAGATAAAAGAATGGGCTTATGAAGAACAGTTGGAAAATATTTACTAGGATTAACAGTAAGAATATATATATATATATTTTATCACTATGAGATTGTTAAGCTTTTGAATAATGTTTTCTTTTAGATTTTCACCAGTGAGGATGTTCGCTGGATTCCTAACCCCTGAGAATTTATTTAGATGAAATGTCTTAGAGTGTGCAATATAGATATTAGTCCAGAGCTTGTTAGACAAGTACTTGAGAGATTGAAAATGGATAAGACTCTTGGACCTGATATCACTAGAGTTATAAAAGAGGTTAAGAACCAGATTTCTGGATCACTTGCTTAAATATTTGATAGATCAATGGACTGGGGCAAGAGTTAAATCACAAATTTTTTCCGTAATTGATTCCAACATTTTTTCTAACTTTTCTCTGTCTAATTGGCTAACAACAGCAACAAAATCCAATAGTTAATATTTCTTTTTCCCTGTTTTTATTTTACTTTATTTGCTCTTTTTATTTTCTTCTCCATTTCCTTTCCAATTATTGCCCTTTTTCTATCTCACCAGGACCAAATTTTTAAAATATCAAAATTACTCCTGAAAGAGAAAGTAAGTATTGCCCAAGGAATTTTAGACAAATTAGTCTTATTTTGGTATTGGAGAAAGCTTTAAAGAGTCTGGTAAAATGATAATCTGAAAGATCATTTGATAAAGTTCAGAATTTCGCCAGACAGCCAACATTGCTTTTTAAAGTGACAGTCCTGCCTTATAACATACATGATTTTTTGAGAATGTTAATTCTCATCAGGATGAAGTAAAGGAATAGATTTTGGTTTCTTTTAATTTTTAGATTATGTACCTCCTACATGATTGGTGGGAAAAATTACCTCAGTAAGATTAGAAAATAAATTGGTTGAAGATAGGCTAGATTAGAGGAAATAAAAATTATTATTAATGAAGTAAGTCTACCTGGAATATGTTGCAAGTATTGTGGCTTTGGGACCATTGCTATTCCTCATTTACATTAATGACATTGATAGGGTCATAGTTAGAAAATTAAGTTTGGTGTTGATATAAAACTCTTAGATCCAGCTGACATTAATAAGGATGCTATGATTTTACACAGAAACTTAGTTAATTGGACAAACACAACATATAATATTTAATTATAAGTTTAAGGTTATGCATGTGAGTTATCACAATATAAGTTTCATGTACAATTTGTGAATCCTCTTAGTTTTGTAGATGAGGAAAAAGATCCTGGAATATTGGTTGATAAAGCTTTTAAGCCTTCTAGACAGTGTTCTTTTGCACATAAAGCTAACAGAATTTTGGGTTGTATATTGGAATATTGCTTACAAGTCTAAAGAAGCCATTGTTTTAGAGTGTAAGTAACTAACTAGACCTTATTTGAAGTATTCTGTACAGTTTTGATTCCCTTAAGTACATTGAGTTGTTGGAAGGGGCTCAGAGGAAGGCAGTAACATAATTTCAGGGATGTATAAGATGAGATCTCTTAACTTTTTTTTCTTAAAAATAAAAGGGGGTGAGAAAACTTAAGTTTTGAAAGTGTATTAAAGGAATTAATAAAACTGATGCATCAGATATTTTTGCAATGAATTCTGAGGACAAGATAGGATAAGAGTATACATTTAAGATATGTAATGATCCAACACAGTTGAAACAATTTTACTTCTCTAATAGGGTAATAAATCTGTAGAATATATTGCCATTTACAGTGTTAGAAGGTTTAACTTTATAGGAGTTTAATGGATGGGTTGCTGTATACCTGGGGGATTAGGGCTGGATTTAGTAATTAGTTTTTGTTAGGAAAGTTAAGAATTAAAACATCCTTGATGAGTCAGAAAGTTTTATGATGTCCCATCATTTATATAAGTAATTTATGAACTTAATATTATTATTATTATACATGTACTACAATAGCAAAATTATTTTAAAAATTTTGTTAAGGGATTCCATTGCTTATGAGACAAAAGCTTAACAAAAAGTTAGTAGAGGTTTTAACTGTTATTGACAGAAGCATAATGATTGATTGGAATAAACAAAATAAAAGTTAAACAGTTTATACAAAGACAATGGAAAATAATATACTCATTTTAAAGAGCACTAAGACAATGTGTTAAAGTAAATCTGACCAGCAATTGTACATGATGAAGTTCTAGCTAATTTTCTTTATATGAATTTAAAATATTCACGTGGTTATTGTTAACATTTTTCTTATTTCTTGTAGGATTGATGCCAAGATAAGTCTGTAATTAAATGACCAGTGGAAGTGTCAAATACTGATGTAGCTTCTGATAAAAAAACAACATCTCTCACATGTATGATGACTCTAAGTTAGAACTTACTGAGGTAGAGTTACTGTCATTTTCTCTTTCTGTAGGTTTGATGAAAAGGAACATGTTTCTGGTCTTACCCAGTTAAAATCTTCTGTGCAAAAGTCTATCAAGAACAAGATTGTGGACCAGTTTCCTTACATTGAGGACTACATTAACCAAATTTTGCCCAAGAAAGAATCTCTTAGAATTGTTAAATGGTGAGTATATACAATGTTGTATATTAAAGTTGTGGTATTTCCCACTAAGTGGAGGTTTGTAAGATATGGAATATAACTGAGTATCCCTTTGATCTCTAACTGACATCGACTAGAAGAAATATGTGAAACTGAAAGATTCATGAGGACAAAAATGTTTATTTACAAACACATAACAATAGAAAAAAAGATACAAAAGCAAAACAAGGAGAGGTGTTCACTGGTGTGTGTCAAGTTGATAAGAATAAGGTGAAGAGTAAGCTGTTACAAGCTTGGTGTATTAAAGTAAGCTACAACTCTTAAGTTGAACTGAATATATCCCCTAAAGAATATTAACCAAATCCTAGAATATATTCCCTAAAGACTATTAATCAAATCCAAAATTACAGTTTAAACATTTACAGTAAATCCAACTAAAGTTAAGGTATGAAGTCTCAGTCAAACCAAAGCGTGTAAATTTCTCAAAGTTTAAGCAAATGCAAATCACACTCAAGTTAAACACTAAGCTCTAACATGAAAATGTTACAAAAGCTTTTGTTCCCAAAAAAAGAATGTAAAAGTTATTCCTACAATATTTAAAGCAGCTAAAATTTACTTAAGCAACAGAGAACTGTCCTGAGTTAACAATGCCCCAGCTGTAACTGTAACGGTACATCTTTATATACAAGAACAATAGCACTAAGAAAGCCAGTCTTGCACACAAAATGCTTGTCACACCCACAGTCTATGTTTACTGTAGTTCTAGAGCATAATTGCATGTACTTGTATCCGATTCTCTGACAGGAAAGACAACTTTCAATTTTGTCACTTGCTCTCTTCTCTACAAGAAAGTCACCTAATTACTAGTAAGTGAACTCACATTTTGTATGACATCAAAACAAGGAAGTTAAGGTGTTACTTGACTGAATCACTGTATTCAAACTGGAAGCTCTAAAAGACACAATAATCTAGTGAAAATTTACATCTTAATAGGGGGGAGTAGTAGATATGCAGTACTACAGAGCAATCCAAATAAAATAAAATTTTTTAATTTCCAGCTAAATTTTGTAAATAAAGCCAATATCTACCCTAAGTTAGTTGAACCTTAAAAATTTGAATTTATCAGCACTTTACATTCAGGAAACATTTTAAAAAAATCTTAAATCATATGTAGAAAAATAGTTTGTTTTTTTTACATAACAATTGTAACTTGTAGTCTTTGTAACCTTTTTTACCCTGGAGCAATGTCTTGGAGCCTTGTATGCAAATTGGTCTGTCTGTGAAAACTGATTCCACAATTTATAAAAATGGCACTAGGATAGATAAGATGTTAACGAATAACTTTATGAAGTTTTAAAATGAAACATTATTTTTATTTAATTAAACCCTTTTTTTGTTTTTAACTTGTATGGAAACTTGATCTTTACCCTTTAGAATGCTTAATGACCCATAGGGGTCAGTGGGGCACAGGTTGAGAGCCATGGCTCTAAGCATATATATGTAACATTATTTGTAGAAATAAATATTCACTACAGAGCTTGAAACTAATGTTTTATTTTTTGGCTACTGACAAATGTTTGTTACTTTAACTAAAAGTTATTTGCAAAATTGCCACCCACAAGTATTGTCTTAATTTTAAAGAAAATTATTATTAAAGTATCTTTCAAATATTAAATACTTTTGTTGTAAAGATGAGCAGCTTTATAAACACAAATTAAGTAATGAAGAACAAACACAAATTTATAAAAATATGAAGTTGTTTACCCCGACTAGTTTCATTTTACCATGTGCATCATTTTCAAGGTTGTTTCAGTTTTATATACTATTTCTTATAACAGCCATGATCATATAGAAGTTTTAGTGGGAGCTGGTGGAGAGCTTCTATTTTTTCGACAGAGGGAGGGACCATATTACCCAACACTTCGGCTGCTTCACAAATGTAAGTAATCTTCTACAGTCTACGTAATGTACATGTTTCACGTATTCAACAATCTTCTACAATCTACGTAATGTACATGTTTCACATATTCAGTGATCTTGTACAGTATGTAATGTGTTACATATATTCAACAATCTTCTACAGTCTACGTAATGTACATGTTTTACGTATTCAGTGATCTTGTACAGTATGTAATGTGTTACATATATTCCCACATCCTTTCAGCTGTCCTTGGTGAGTTCCACTATTTTTACACTATCCCACATCTTTTCAGCTGTCCTTGGTGAGTTCCACTATTTTTACTCTATCCCACATCCTTTCAGCTGTCCTTGGTGAGTTCCACTATTTTTACACTTTCCCACATCCTTTCAGCTGTCCTTGATGAGTTCCACTATTTTTACACTTTCCCACATCCTTTCAGCTGTCCTTGGTGAGTTCCACTATTTTTACACTTTCCCACATCCTTTCAACTGAACTTCCACATTGTTTGTTTTTTTACTCACTGAGATCTCCTCTTCTATGATTTTTTTCACCTCTACCCCTGTTTATGTGTAATATTGAATTGCCTTTTTTTATTTTCTTCAGATCCTTTCATCTGCCCCTGGCAGCAAGTTGATAAAGGTGCAATCCGTTTTGTTCTCAGTGGTGCCAATATCATGTGTCCTGGATTAACTTCACCAGGGGCAAAAATGATCCAGGTTCCACAAGGAACAGTTGTTGTATCCTTTTTATTAAAACATATAACTGTTATATAAATTTAGCAGGTAAGTAGTCTAAGAGAAAAGTTAAGATCACTTTTATTTGCTTGTGGTGCTTGAATTAAGTGAAGGATGAAATGTTTAAAAGTTATTCTACTTGCGAGCTTTCCTGAGAATTATAACTTTCCTTAACTAGTCAACAGGCTGTCATGGCTGAAGGAAAGAAGCATGCTTTAGCTGTTGGTCTCATGTCTAAATCTGCTGAAGAAATGTAAGATCATATTTGTTTTTGTTATTAGTTATTTCAGTGAAGTCTGTAGTGATTTCTAAACCAACCCACAGATGGTGATAAGCTTGTCAGTTCCAATAGATGCAGTAATAGAGCTTGTAAAATCATAGTCGACAATTTTCATATAGATTTATCACTATAGTTTTTTTTCACTAAGCTGCAAGATAATTTTTTCACAAAATATTTATTCTTAGGATCAAAATTACAGTCTATTGACATTGCATTTAGTCTAATAAAGTATTTCCAATTGTATTTAATCTTAATAAACTAATTAAAAAATAGTTAGCTTTTTCAGGTTCTTTTAGAGTTAACAGTTGGCTTAGAAGCTTTTGCATATTTGGTAGTATATTGCAGAAATAGGAACAGTTATTGATAAAAGCAAAGAGTCTCAAGTCAGATACATTTCTTCAGCTCTGTATGTATTTTTTTGAGTGGTACTCTTTTTTTTGCATGTCGTCTTCACTTGCTGGGTCTTCGGATTCACCATTTCATAGACAATTGGCTACTGCTTGCCTCTGTCATTTATGCATTTGTCACTCACTGGATTGCCAAACTTCCTTCCTTTTGGTTTCCAGTTCCTCACCCCTCAGCTGTGGGGGTGGATGCTTTCAGTTGAGATTGGAAAGGTCTTCACCTATATGCCTACCCTCCAATCAGACTCCTCTCCAGAGTCATTTCTCTTATTTAGACCACTCCTTGTTGTGTTTTGCTGGTTACTCCGTATTGGTTGGCTCAAACATGGTTCCCTCTGCTCTGGCCTTTAGTGAAGCAACAGCCCTTGCCCTTCCCTCTGTCCTGATTGCTCCTCAGGCAACCGCGATAGGAAGTATTTCATCTCAACATCACCAAACTCCATCTTCACATATGGCTTTTGTCTGGTCCCTTGCCTCAGCTCAAGGACTCGCCCCTTATGTGGTCTTTCCTTGCCTGTACCATTCACCCTTCCTCCTATATACTGGAGACATTGGTCTTATTTTGGACTTTGGTCTATTTGCCTGGTTGTTTGATCAGGGTTTCTCTGTTTCAACTGTTGCTCTTTATAGGGCTGCTCTGTCAATCACCTTCCATTTTCCCACTCCTGGAAAGCATTCTCTTTCCTGGTTATTTCTTTCCTTTCTTCTGGTCCATCCCTTTGTTCTGCCATATTGGGATCCCAATGTTGTCCTTCATGCCCTGTCCAGTTCTCCATTTGAACCATTGCAATGTGTTCCTTGTAAAATTTTTCCTTAAGACCTATTTCCTCCCCTTCCTGGCATGAGGTCCTCATCTTTCTGATATTTATGCTATTAATGTTTCCCACATCCTTCCTTTACCATTTCTCATATGTTATCATCTGTCTTTATCTGGCCTTCATTCCTAGGACATTGGTTGCATGGGAAGGTTGTTCAGCCTTTTGTCCTATTTCTTTACCTTCCATTTCCCACCTGTACTCCTGTTCAGATCATGCTCGACTACTATGTCCAGTTTGTTCCCTGCTATGTTGTATAGCTCATACTGTCTCCTTTCATGGTTCTCATTCCTGTGTATTTGTACCATGGAATTCCTCTGTTTATCATGATCCATCACCTATTATGCTCACTGGTTGGGTTTGTAAACTCATATGATTGGCTTATTCTGATGTATCCATGGGAGGTTGCCATCTGCACAGTGTTTCTTCTCACCAAATTTGTCATCTAACTATGTCTTTAGCGGCTCAAGTCTGCCATCCTCTGGATAAGATCATTCAGACTGGTATGTAAACAACTCCCAATAGGCTTGTCGCACATTATCTGCACAACCAGCTGTGTCTTCCTCAAGCAGGTATCATCTTCCTCCTCTGGCATTTCTATACACGTCTGTTCACCTTGGACTGGGATAAGTCGACATATTATTATTTTTATCTTCTTTTATTGATACACATCATATTTCAGGATCCCATCTAGTGGAATGTATTGCCTGGTCAGGTATGCTTATTATTATATTAGCACTAAATCTGTATACTTCTATAACGCTCACTGTTGAGATGGGGTGTTTCTGTAAGACCACTGGCTGCTTATTCGGTGTTGTGTGTATATATATTTTTTTTTATCACTATTTTATGTATAAAGGACCGTCACTCATGGACTTCGTGAGTAAAGCAGATGGGGAATTTTTCCCCATCTCTACTGATTTGTGATTCTTACAATCAGGGCCTTTCTACTTTTCAAAACAGTAAATTGCAGACACCCATTGCACTGTCTCCAGTGTGTCGTTCCTCTAGACTCCCCAGTGCATATTCTCTTCCTTTTTTTCTTCCAGTGGAGTATGGGAGTCCTTGCCACTTCCTGTTCCCAGTTGCTGGAGAGGTGGACCATGGAAGTTTCCTCCTGAGTGGGGTTTATACAGTAAACTAAATCAAACTTCATAGCTCATATGTACCCACTTAGTGAAAAGCGAGTTATCATCATTATACTCATTGACTATGCAATAACATAATACTCTGGATCCAAGGTCCTTGCCCCCTGGATGTTTTTGCATGGGCTGGCCACACTTGTTAATAACAAAATAAATTTCTTATGCAAGGTGCTTCCACTGGATGTTTTCTGCTTGGATGGACCACACTTGACATAATTCGACATATCCCAAGGTGCTTCCTCTGGATGTTTTTTGCCCGTGCTGACCGCACTTGTTGATCTTCCAAATTTATGCAAGGCACTTCCCCAGGATGTTTTTCCCTGGGTGGACTGCACTTGGCCTATTCATATACAATTTACGGTCCTTTAGCCCTAGCCACATATACTTATATGACATTATCAGGCACCTTACTATGACTAACTATCACTATGTTCCAAGCTAGTACTTGCTACACATGTGGACGAAGTATGTTCTATCTGTTGACAACAGGACTGATTCTGAATTACCTCACAATTTTTCATCAAACTACTTATTCAAGGTGCTTCCCCTCGTTTTTTTTTGTTTTTTTTTATCAGGAGGATTGCTCTTGTTGCTCACAATATCCTGGACAAGGCATTTCCACTGGATGTTTTTCCCGGTTGGACAGCAATTGACGTGCTCCAGTTTGCTGCAAGACTCTACCCTTGGTACATAGTTATTTGGGCCCATTATCGATTACACACGAGACATTCTGTTTTTGTCCACGCTGTGCTGTGTCACATAACAGATATACAGCTGTACCCCTTTTTTTCAAACTATGGTGCCAGCCTATTCCATTCTACCCTATATATATTACTGTGTTCTTTACTAGGTGAAGACATAAGTGTACCAGAAGTTGTGCTGTACTCCACAGGTGTGCTTTATTTTGTTATTATGGCACACCTGATCTTTCAAGGCAGTTAATTGAAAACTGTTGCACCTTCACCAGCCCCTCCACCTTTTCAATGTGGGATTTTAACTTTGGGTGAATGGAGGTAGTACTGTTTCTGAAGTTAACATTATCTTACACAGAAAATTTATTTCCAATAGATTCTTTCTTCCACTCTTCCTCCCCACTAATACGCCAGTGTTTCTTGTTTGAATCTGCCAGTTCTCAAAAGTGAAGATTATGTTACAATAACAGATGGAGCTAGCTGTGTTAGTATAGTATGATTGGTGGAGGGTAGTCACATGATCAGCACATGTTCTGAAATGGCACAAAAATAAATGGGTATAAAAAGACTGGTGCACCGTTAGCGAAATTTTTTAGCAATGCTTAGAGGGAAACCAAGATCGAGATAGCTTTGGGTGAGCAACCATTGGAAATTTATTTTCAGCATAAAAAAAAATTTTAACTTCTATGTTGACTTACAAACTTTGGCAGACTCTTGCAACAGAAGTAAAATACTGAACACTATACAAACTTTGACAGACACTCTCTGAATAGAAGTTTTTGCTTCTTCTTATAGTTGAAAGTTTTTGTCCCCAACTTAAATAACACTAGCCTCCTAGTCGCACAGTGGTATGTCTGCAGACTTGCAACACTAGAAACCGGGTTTCGATGCTCGTGATTGGCAAAGCACAGATAGCTCATTGTGCAGCTTTATCCTTAACTACAAACAAACAAAAGAAACAACACTTTAAAGAAGTTATTTCTGGATTGTGCATAAAACAATAAAATTTTAATTGGAAGAACAACAAAATATCTTGTAAAATACTTCTGAATAAATAATTAATAATATGATTATCCATTATATTACACATTAAAATGTATCATATCTGTTTAAGTAGACCGTGGGTGAAACATATATGATGAAGTTCTTTGTTCGATATAAATTGGTAACATAACTGATTGTAAAATGACATGAAAACAAACTAACTTTTCCATTAAAAGGTCAGTATTAGAAAAAGTTTGTTAGGAACTAATGCTCAATATTATATAACAAAGAGAAGTTTATAAACTATTACATCAGATTCTTTTCTTTTTTTTTCAGAGAAAAAGTTAACAAAGGTGTTGGGATAGAGAACATTCATTATTTAAATGATGGACTGTGGCATATGAAGCCTGTGAAATGAAAGAAGATATATATATATATATATATATAATCAACTTTAATGGTGTAGACTGAGAAACGAAACAATTTGTTTTTGTCAAAAGCAGTAAATGATTGATTGTACTATAATAGAATATCAAGTGCCATTTACCAACCATTTATTGAAATATAAGAACTAAATAACATTTGTTAAAATGTCTTCTGCCAAACCATTTACACTTGAACACAAAAACTAAATAACTTTCATTAAAACTTCTTCTGCCAAACCATTTATTGAAATATAAGAACTAAATAACTTTTGTTAAAATGTCTTCTGCCAAACCATTTACACTGGAACACAAGAACTAAATAACTTTCATTAAAACTTCTTCTGCCAAACCATTTATTGAAATATAAGAACTAAATAACTTTTGTTAAAATGTCTTCTGCCAAACCATTTACACTGGAACACAAGAACTAAATAACTTTCATTAAAACTTCTTCTGCCAAACCATTTATTGAAATATAAGCACTAAATAACTTTCTTTAAAATGGTGCTTATGTTTCAGTAAATGGTTTGGCAGAAGATTAAATAACTTTCTTTAAAATGTATTCTGCCAAACCATTTACTGAAACATAAGCACTAAATAACTTTCTTTAAAATGTCTTCTGCCAAACCATTTACTGAATAGAAGAACTAAATAACTTTCTTTAAAATGTCTTCTGCCAAGTCATTTATTGAAACATAAGCACTAAATAACTTTTGTTAAAAATGTCTTCTGCTAAACCATTTACTAAAATATAAGTATACTTT